TCTGGTACATCAGGACCGTCGGCCTGGACGACGCCGTCATCAAGTCAATCGCAGCCTTCGTATACAAGTCCGGCGATGGATTAGTCGACGGTGGTGATTGCTCCGTCTGCCTCGGCGAGTTCTCCGACGGTGAGGTCGTCAAGCTCTTGCCCAAGTGCTCACACGCTTTCCACCAACCGTGTGTCGACACGTGGCTAAGATCTCATGTCAACTGTCCTCTCTGCCGCGCCCCCGTCGTTGTCCCGGCTGCGGGGGCGGAAACACCGGCGGCAGCAGATGGTTCGGTTTCGGGTCGTTTGGAAAACACCCAAATCGAGATTTCTCAGCCCCAGAATCAAGACGAGTGTGCGATTACGATCAATTTGGATGCTGGGTCTTCTTCATCTTCATCAAGGCCGCTGGACGATGAGAATGGACTGCAGCCGATTCGTCGGTCGGTGTCAATGGACTCCTCATCGCTCGCAAAGCTCATGCTCAGGGTTGAATCCGAGCCGGAGGTGAAATTGGGGGAGGAGAAGAGAGAAATTGAGGTGCAAGGAGTTATACTCTCGAAGAAAAAAGGAGAAGGGGTCGACTGTTTTGGGAAGCAGAGCGTCGAGAGGTCTCTGTCTTCTAGAAGTGGGAGGCTCTTTTTTCCGAGATGCCGGCGGGGTCGCGCCCGGAGCTCATCCGTTCTTCCCTTGTGATGAATTGTGTGAAGAAAAACTCAAAATTGAGTTGGGATTTTTGAGTTCTTGGCTTTTTCGGGGACTACCCTTTGATGTTTGACACTACTGTATGTATGTATGTATTATGTAAAGGTAAAAGCGCAAGCTTTTATACTCAAGGATATGGATGCTGGAAAATGTGGGATCATGGATTTGAGCAGAAGTTTCAAGTTCATCCGTCTGCTTGGGAGAATGATTAATATGTTCTGGTGAGTTTATGTATCTTTTTCTTTTTATGTTTTTCACCTTGTGAGTATAAATGATTGCTCACTACTTTTTGTACTAAAGTCGTGTATACTTTTGGCTTGCTGTGTGTTAATGGCAATATATTGAAGCGGGTGAAATTAATATTTCTCTCCCTTCCAACACATGTCATAGTCTATGTTTATTGACATACTAGTGATGAGCACGAATTGTGGCGAGATCTGTAAGTTCAGATGATACATCATTTAAGTAGCTTTATTCAGTATCATTGAAGCGTACTTGTTTTCTCATTTGGCTGCCAATCTAGAATCTTAAACCATTTGTTGGGTTTATCTCAGGTTAAACATGGATCCATTGGCTTTTAGAGAATTGGATTTATATTCTTCATGCTGTATCTTTTGATGTCATGTAGAAGTTAACTCCCTTAATTATCTTGTAAGCTCAGTAAAGGAGATTGATGTCTCTCCGACATTTGATTGTGAAACTGTTTGGGATTAATTTAGTAGGTACTTAGAGGAAAAGTTGGTCAAGTATTCTTTTACCATTTGCATTTTGGTTTTGTAATTAAGAGCTTAATCTAATGGATGATCAAAATTGAGTTTAGTTGGTAGTTATCCGATACTTGTTAATAACTTCAAAACTACGTCTCAGGTGCATTTGATATTCTTTTTCATATTGGATACCGCCTTATAAGGTGGCCTGTTTTTGCTGCTTTTATTTGTGACTTCTGTTTCATATTTACTATTTTCCCGGATGTCTGATGAATGTATAATCAAAGAATTATCTGATACTATTACTTGTGCTTCAATGAGCACTGAAGAACATTTTATTGTCCATTACTAGGTAAACCCTTTAAACAAGTAAATCTGACTTACTCTTTTGTTTTTTAATTTATGGGAATATGTTAGATATGTATTAGATTATAAGTGGTTTGAGGTAAACCATTTTAAAATTTGAAAAATAGTGGTGTGGATGCTTGGGGGTAAATGATGTTTAGGCAATCCTCCTGTTATGAATTCATTTAACTGTTGGTAAGCAAAGATCTTCCATATTTGTTTATGTAGTTTTATTGTCATTCAAGTCAAATCATATATTACACTATTATCTAAATAATTCTTCTCTTTGAATCTCCAATTTACAGAAAAGTCTTCTTATGTAGAAGTAAAAACCATATGACTAATTGCTATTTAAATTCTCTTGCAAAATTTAGATTATACATTCAATGAGATCTCTAACGGAATTGTGTGTTGATGTCCCTTGTTAAATTCTGAGGGAAAATTTTGGACTTCCCCTTAGCTGAATTGGCTGAAATATTTTAGGTTGTTGATAAACGTTTCTATTTATTTTGTGTTTAATTTTTTATTTCCCTTTTAGCTGATACTTTGATAATTTGAAATCTATAGCATGCATATAAAAACTAGTGATGATGATCTAAGGGAAATAACCATTTTCTAGTGAATGCCAAATTGAAACTTACAGATTGAGGTGCAAAGATGTGGGTTGCTTTTTCAAAATTCTTGCTACCTCTCTTGTGAACTTAATTAATTAAAATGTTGCATCATCACTAAGTATTAAAATGTATTGTCCATTATATGATGTTTGACATGGATCAAATGTTATGAATGATTATTTTGGAATTTTTCACTTTTCTCTATGTTGTGTTATTTTCACAAGGAATATGGCATCATGTTTGCTAATATGACGATTATGAAAATCTTTTTATACATAGTTCGGCCATACGAAAGGAAACTTCTATAGGTGCATCCAGATAATTTTATTGTTCTAAGCCTTTCTTGAAAGAGTTCTTTAGTTATGGTCTCAAATTGAACTAATCCAATGAAGCTTACCCATGCTAAGTGCAATGAATCACTAGATAAGATAATGTATAAATCTGCATGTATTTTGAGTTGGAACAAACAAATTTTAAAGTTCAACTTGTCGAAGGATTTGAATATAACTAATTAACCAAGACTCTTGTTTAGATTCTTTTTCTCCTTAGCGACACAATGGATTACTGCAGCTATTAGTATCTTTATTTACTAAAGTTTTCCACGAACGACATGTTGTTTCATGAGTAATAAACGTTCTCATTGGTTTGCTTTTATATCTAAGATACCAAATGTGATGAGTTGATCTCAGTATTTGCAAGGTTTTGTTTTGTCTAATCAGTCCCAAGTTATGTTGTTTGGAATAATTTTGTTTGTTACATTCTTGAGTTTTATCATAAGGCTTGAACATCTATGTGTATCATAATGCCAACATAAATTGCCATAATTCTAGATCCTCTAGTCTCCAGTTCCTTCATTGCAAATATTGGCCTTTTTTATGTTATATGCTTTTGTTAGATTAAAACATTGTTATATCTTTAGTAAAGCAACTTCCTTAACTTCAGTTTTCCGGTAAAACTGGGGAAGAAATTTGGATGCCTTCAATATTGGAGTCTGTTTCCAATGCATTCTTACTTCTGTGCGATCTTCTTCTAGTGGAATAAAGATGTAAGAAAAGTTTTGTAGTGGAGAGGAAGTAACATGCAGTGGTGGAAAAGCTAGATTCTTATAGATAAGGGAAATGTGTCAATGGAAGTTGATTGACTTTCTAGAGATGACAATATGTCCATTCAATAGCAGTATGAAGTCTTCTTTTCAAGATGTGGAAAGTGTATGCATGAAGGGGGAGAAAAAAAAATCTAAATCTGTGGACAATTCTCTTGATACAAGAGTTTATAATTTTTAGGGAGTTCTTGCTGAAATCTTTACCTCTCCATTTGTTTGTCTTGATATATAACTATGTATAGACAATGGTAGCATGCAGTCAGAAAAAAGATTGGATACTGAACCATCAGCAGCCACCAAAGATTTGGCTGATGATCTCACATCATGGAGAAGACTGTTATAGCAAACTGATGAATTAGTTTATGTTTCCTTTTGGGTCAAATTTTTGTGTCATAACTAAAAGATATTTCGATTGCAGTCTGAACATTTCCTCAGCTCATGTACTCTTGTTATTTTGGCACATTGAAATATTGTCCCGGTGCAAATGTTGAAACTCCAACTACTTCATCAAATATGGCGAGTGTTGCTTTTATTTGTAGTTTTTTTAGGTCGCTGGTTGTGATACTGTGGGGGAGCCTGGGAGAATTATACAGAGCGGTTTGATGAAAATAGGGGATGATATATGATCATTTCAGGTAATTCTTTCAGTCAAGTCTTTATTTCCAATTTACTTCATCTATTTATAGTTTTATGAAAATATTAAAAAGTCTTCATTTATGTAAATAATCTGCGTTGCCAACATACATGATTGTATCTCAATTTCTACATCTTTACATTGCATAAAGAAATATGAAGAGCCTTCTTCCCCCCCTTCACAATTCTTTTACACCCAATTCCCAGTTTTTTATGTTAAATACCTAATAGAATTTCATTCAGTTTTAATATTGCATGAAATGCTCTCGTACGGCATTGGAATTCTGGAAGAATTTCTTACAGGGATTTGCAAATTTGATAAGAACTAGGTGAAATACCTTATTATTGTTTGCTTAGTGCCTCGTCTTTTAGCTCTTGAAGTATTTGCTTTAAGAAACACCGAGTAGACTGCTAACTTCTTAGTATTTTTGCTCTGAACTCTTGAAAAGATACTGCTTCAACACAACCAAGCACCTGAACCATAAATGTTCTTCCCAAACTGCCGATGTTAAAACCTAAGGTAGAACAATTACAGTCTAACTCAACAGGGTGAAGCACTTGCTCCCTTATTCCTGATTAATGTTGTCTCTCTCTTTTTCTTCTTATTAGAGGTCAGAAAAGTATGAACTTACGTTAACTTATATGTTTCCTTCGTCAAGATCTGACGTCTAACTATACGACTGTTATCACCCTCACTTCGAGCTCCTTCGTAACATCCCAATGTGTCAGCTCTATTTAGGATATAGCAGTGCAGGTGTATTTTTGCAATGATGAAAAGTCTTTCAGATGTTTGTAAATAATCGTTTATTTAAGACAGATCCTCCTACATTCGAGATGTAGAAGTTCGTTTCTTGTTGGTTTCTCCTATGAACTTCCCTTCTTCCGTATTTTATGTTCATACATTCTGCCCTGATCCCAAATTGAACTTCCAGATACATGGTTGGTGACATGGATATGGCTACTGTTTTGATCTTTAAGACCTGAAGCCTATTTTTCGTTAGTGGATCTTGTTTTGATCTTTAGAACAAAGCTTTTATGCTGCTTCAGTTTGTGTCCATTGCAAGTTTGGCCTTGCCTGAACGAAAATGTTCAGCTGGTCAGGGGTCTCACAGTTCATATTAATAATTCGGTTTTCTATAATGGCTGCTGTTCCAAAAAAAAAAAAATCGAGATTGTTTCTATATTGGCGAGGTCCCTATTTGCATAATTATTTATTTAGGACTTAGAGATGTCATATTTAAAAAAAATACATTGTGTGAATCCATGTGAACTCTTTTATGATGATATATGTGACTAAAGCCTTAAATTTGCAAGCCCGCTGTTGTGTATCAATGTCTCGTCTCATAGGGCGGTTGAAAACTTGAACAGGACTAAAGTTAGGTTCTGGCTTTCATCTTATAGTTTCTATAATCTATATTATGAATTATTTGATCATCCTCTGGTCTACGTATTTTAGCTAATGTTCCTTACCTATCCTGTTTTGTACTCTGATTAGAACAATGAGTCTTACTATGGAGATTAAGCTATGCAAAATTCTTGCCACAGTTCTGGTATTTCATTTCACTAGTGTGCACCCCGTGCAAAATACGGTCTCCTATTTTTTTAAGCACTGTGTTTTAAACTTGTCTCCCACTAAGTTTTAATATATTTGATTTAATTATTGTATGCTTAAAATTAAAAATTATATCTATTCCTCTATACTTAAAGAAGGATCCAAGTTTTAATACATTTGATTTTGAAATCATATTTACTACTCCACACTTAAAAAATGATCCAACTTTTAATACATTTTATTTATTTTACTATTTAAGATACAGTAAACAAAATGTAGCATGAATAGTAATTTCAAGTATTGACGAACAAATTTGATTTGACTGTTTACGTTGCAATAAATACTGTAACATAAACAGTAACTTCGATTGTAGAGAAGTAGATAATTCTTTGGATTACTTCAACACATTTGGTTTGGTTTACTGTTCATGCTACAATATTTACTGTGGCATGAAGAAGTAATTCTTTGGATTCACCTTTTAAGTATAGAGTAGTAGATAAAGGAGCGTATTGAGACTTCTGTCGTGTTATT